GAGAGACAAGATGAAGAGTTCAAGGTCATCCTCAGCTATTTAGCAAGTTTGAGACCAGCCTGGGTTGTAGGAGGACCCTGTCTCTTAAAAACAAACAAACAAAAAACCCGACGGGAGTCAGGCACCAGGTTGGGCAGCTCTACATTCTGAGCCATGCCTGCAGGGACGAAAGGGTCCCCAGCAGTTAGCTAAATGGCTTGGATCAGGGATGCGTCCTTAGGCTTCTGTTTACTGCCCAGCTGTAAGGGGGGGGGGCTGAATCTGTTCTTCCGGGCTCAGGAGGTGGTTCTCTTGCCCTCTGGTGCCTTCTGGCACCCCGTGGAAGTTCTGGGCTGCCTAATTGCTGTCTCTGCGATGGGATAGGCATGTTGGATTCATGTTCAAGTTGGCCCCATTCCTGGACAGGGCCAGCATCCTTCCTTGATAGGAAACTGGTATCTCTGGAGGTGGCTTAAAGGCCAGGGAGGGAAGAAGGTAACCTCTGAAGGGACACTGCAGGGGTCAGAGCCACAAAGATAGGGAAGACACAAGACAAAGGGACATGAGGGCTAGCTAGGACAGTGGTTCTCAACATGTGGGTTGCTATCCCTTTAGGGAAACAGACCTTCCGTAGGAGGCTCCTGAGACCACCGGAAAACACAGATATTTACATTATGATTCATAACAGTAGCAAAATTACAGTGTTGAAGTGGCAAGGAAAATAACTTTATGGTTGGGGTCACCACAACATGAGGAACTGTTAAAGGTCGCAGCATTAGGAGGGTTGAGAACCGCTGCCCTGGGACATGGAGAGATGGGGTGGGTGCGTTGCAGCAGGTATGTGAGTCGATCCCAGCTTCCTTCCCTCCTCCTGCCCTGTGTGTGCAGGAAACACATCTAACGACAGCTGAGCTAGCAGAACGGACAAGTTCCCTCCTGCTGCAGAAAGGGTTGTGACGAGTTCACCCCGGGAGCCAGTGCTGTGTGACTCTCAGCCAGGCAGCCAGAGCCTCTGGGAGGTGGAGATGTGTAATGAGCGTGGAAAGCTGAAGTCCCCCAGCTCGTAACAAGATGGGAACATGGCACAATTGAAACAATACATGGATGAAGGCCTAAGTCACAGCAGCTCACCTCGGGGCTGCAAGAGGCCCAGGAAAAGCAAGTCTGGGCTGGCAACCAGGGCTGGGCTCCACCATGGCCGGGGTCCTCTGTACACAGTGGGATCCTCTGAGCCCTCCTGTCCCCACACTAGTGCAGTGGCCTTCAGGAGCTCAGAGTCTACCTCTTGGGAAGAAGCAATGCCATTTGTGGGACTTGGTGAATGGGCTCATGTCTGTGTCTTCAGGACAGCTGTGATAGGCTATACCGCAAAATACACTGGAGGGTGGCAAGGACTCATGCCCGCCTCTGTGAGCTGGCCACATGCCAGCATTGTACTGCATATACCTCTGCTGCATGTGGTCTCTGCTTCTAACTCTGAGGCCTGGGGAGACCCTGCACACAGGCAGGTCAGCGTCATTGAGAGCATCTGGCCCGTGTAAAGAAAGAGGCCCTACCCACCCTGGCAAGCCTGGGGAGGATACTGGCTAGATGTTTCCAGAGCTCCTGACCTTGAAGGAGGGCACAGATGCAGCAAAGGACCCCAGTGCTTCAACACTGAAAATAAGTCTGAAAACTCTGACCTCCAGCCAGGGAAAGGGATCCATGGCTCCAGCTCACACCCGGGTCCACAGCTTAGCTACCTCTAGGCCGGGTGGTTTCTGTGCCCGGTTCCCTGGGTCCAGGTTCCCTCCTGTTGGCCCTTAGGGCCACAGGGGCCCAGCTCTGTTCAGTCAGGGACCCTCCTGCCCTTTTCTAGTGAGCGGTCACATTCCTTTTTAACCCTCAGCAATGTGGGGGGCGGGCCACTGGGGTGGAGGAAACAAAAGTCCCCCCTCAGAACTCCCTCAGGCCATTATCTTCCCGAGACTTCCTGAGACCGGGAGCCACCTTCCTGTAGTCAAGGAATGTAGTCACCTTTCAGCTTGCCTTCCAGAGTCCAGGGAACTCAGAGACAAGGTAGGGGCTTCACCTTCAGTGAAGTTGCCAATGGGCCTGTCAAAGTGGCCTCCATACTGTCCCAGAGGCACCAGGGGGATGTGTGCCCACCGTCATGGATAGCTGTTGTAACACAGGGCTCTGAACAGTGTCACCATGAGGGCTAAAGGAAAACCCTGCCTCCAGACAGAGATCAATGAAGAAAATGTGGTAGGACTTTGAGCACCTACTGTCCCAGCGTGCATTAGGCACTTCAAAGTTGCATGAAAAGTGTCTCTGAGTACTGCCTGTGTGCCAATCTCGGGACTGGGGGTCAGAGTTTTAGGGCCGGGAGCCAAGGTTGTAGATATTATGTTTTGTTGTTGTTGGGATTTTAGTTTGTTTGTTTTTTGTTTTTTTTTTTTTTTTTTTTTTTGGTTTTTGATTTTTCAAGACAGGGTTTCTCTGTGTAACAGTGCTAGCTGACCTAGAACTAGTTCTGTAGAACAGGCTAGCCTTGAACCCACAGGCTGGCTTCAAACTCACAGAGAACTGACTGCCTCTGTGTCCTGAGTGCTGAGATTAAAGGCATGCACCACCACTGCCTGGCCTGTTTTTTGAGACAGGGTTTCTTTGTATAGCTCTGGCTGTCCTTGAACTCTCTCTACAGACCAGGCTGGTCTTGAATTCACAGAGATCTCTGCCTGCCTCTGCCTCTTGAGTGCTGGGATTAAAGGCGTGCGACACCACTGCCTGGCTAGATTTATATTAAGAGGTAATATCAGGCACCTTCATTAAGGTCTTCCACCCTAAAACTGACTTCACTAACGTCCTCGACTTGAATATTGTTGTCTCAGCTTTGAATATGGGGAAACTGAGACTCAGAGAGGCAACACAGTAGCCCAAGAAGACAGAATGAGTTAAGAGTGAGACTTGGGGTACAACACACTGTGGCACCCCACTCCCTTCCAGACAAACATGATTGGAGTTCGAACAGGAAGTTTCAGCTCATTCATTCCCAAGCTTCTATTGGAAGAAGCAGCGGGCTGGGATGAGGGGGGACCGAGACAGGACAGTGAAGGACAGAGAAGGTCTCTGCAAGACGGGTAGAAGCTTCCTGGCCTCCTACCCCCCCCTCCCCCCCAGGCTGTCTCCAGGTGAATGTATTTGTGGATTCTAAAAGGCCTTCAGCCAGCTGTGGTAGGGAGTACACCAGGCAACAGCCCTAGCTGCAGGCACACCGGGACCCTATAGAACCAGTACGGGACAGGCCTAAACAGATAGTCCTCTTTCCTTGGCGCCTTCCTGTAGTGTCCAGGCTGTAAGAACTGTGCTGCCCCAACGCCATCGAAGCTGTCAACACCGGGGAGGACAGGAACTAGCCACTGCTCAGCTGTGGGCTTGCAAGCCTACCCTTGCTTTGGTGACATAAACAAACAACAGACCCTAACTCTGGTCTCTAGAGCTCTGGATGGCGTTTGTGACATTTTTGAGGGAGGTGGGGCGGGGTCAAAGCTGTGCAACAGTTTACATGAAATGACAAAATGATCCCAGAGGAGTCAGACACTGTCATGCACACCCAGGATCCCCAGCACTTGGGCGCTGGAGGATCAGGAGTTCAAGGCCAGCCTCAGCTTCACCGAAAGCTCATTCCAGGGATGAACTTTCTCAAAACTGGACAGCGAACAAGATCATCCTAGCAAAGGAAATGCCCTCAAGTGCCTCGCCCTTGACGTGGTAGAAGCTTCCTGGCCTCCTCCGCCCCCCTCCCCCAGGCTGTGTCTCCAGGTGAATGTATTTGTGGATTCTAAAAGGGCTTCAGCCAGCCTTGGTAGGGAATACACCAGGCAACAGCCCTAGCTGCAGGCACAACCGGGACCCTATAGAACCGGTACGGGACAGGCCTAAACAGATAGTCCTCTTTCCTTGTTCCTCTGTGTCAGTGGGCACATGGGCTATCACAGTGACAACGGGCTAATAGAAGATGGCTAGCCTAAGCCCAGCGTCACGAGTTGTCTGGAGGATGGAGAGCAGCTATGAGGGAAGGGCGTCAGGGAGGAGCAAAAACGTGACCTCTAAGTAGAGGTCCAGAGCCTCCCATGACCCTCGTTCCCTGTCACCCCACCTTTGCTTCCCACAGCTGGGCAGAGTCAGCCTCACACATCTTGGGTCTCTGTCCAGGCTCAAAGATCCTCACTTCTCATGGGATTCAACTCTCATCCCTATCTACGTTGGAGCAGGGTCACCTTGGAAACATGTCAGCAAAGAGGCGTGGATATGGGAATCTTAGGACAAAGGATGAGGGTGGACCAAAGGCAGTAGGGAAAAGAAACCTGTGCAACAGATGAGATCATAGGAGAACTTCCCAAATGGAGAGTTATTAGGCCATCCAGCAAGGTGCCGAGGAAGGGGAAGTTTTTGATAACTTGGTGTTTTGTTTTTTTTAGAGGTACGGTCACTGGATAACTGTAAAGCTGGAAATCATTGCGAAGCACAGAACAGGAAGCCGAGTCCAGAGAGATAATTCCCTGACCCCTTGGGAAATTCCTGTGCTGTAGTGGAGGGGCCAAGAGGAGGAGATCCTCCAAGGCCAGAGACAGGCAGCGAGTGCAAGCCGGGCTCATACTGGTGGCCGCAGTCAAAGCAAAATAAAGGGTGGTTCAGGGGAAAGTGCCAGGCAGTAAAGGTGGGTCAAAGAGGCGCTTCTGAGCTAAGCCACTCCCTGTGGGGCCTAGTGGTGTAACCAAGGGACACGGACATGCTGGGGGCCTGGGATTTAGCTTGTTAGCCCCAGACCTCCAGAGAGCCTGCTGTTGAGGGAGCTGCGGGCCTCTTCCCACAGCCCACTCCGGGCCACCTGGCTAGCTTATGCCCTGAAATAACAACACACAAACTCTATTATTTAAACATTGCCTGGCCCATTCGCTCTAGCTTCTTACTGGCTAATTCTTACATCTTGATTTCCCATTTCTATTTATGTGTGTAGCACCCCAAAGTGCACTTACCGGGAAGATTCTAGCCTATGTCCATCCTGCATCGGAGCTTCATCGCATCTGCCCTGGAGAGGAGCAGCCTGGCGTCTGTCTGAGCCGTCTTACCTCACTTCCTCTTCCTCCCAGAATTCTGTTTACTCCACCCACCTATATTCTAACCTATCAGGGCTTCCTCCGTCAGCCTGCCTGGCCTTGAGCAATGTTGTGGAGCTGTGGATTAGTGGTGGAACCTGGGCCGCCTGGCTGCCTGCCCAAGGTCCTGCTGTAGTCCCAGCAGCTGTGGTCACCACTCTGCTTCTGTGCTCACTGGGACCTACACTGTCCCTACTCCTGGGAGCTGGGATTCCTAGGAGCCACGGTTGAGTGTCCTCAGTGCTCTGCAGACCACACAGTAACCATCATGGATCATTACAAAGCCACTGTCACATCCTAGAGCAGGGTTTAAAAATAGAAACTCAGCTTAGGCTGTGACATGCTGGTGGGGGCTTCTTTATCAATCGCTAAGGACAGGGCCTTTGACCTGAGCCTGGCTGACTGGATAGATCAGGCGAATCTGAGATCTGAGGCCCAGGGCCAGCACAGGCTACTCTCTTGGTGCGCCTATCCTGCTTGCTGGTACCCTGCGGATAAGAGTTCGGTGTGTTGCTCAGTCTTCCCAGTGCGCAGGACAGCCCTAGGGCAAAGAATGATGGGGGGGAGGCTCGGTGTCAATCAGTTTCAGGTGGACAGACTTTGCACTGGCAGAGAGGAAAGGACAAAGAATATCTGCAGTAGAGAAGGACGGGCCAGCTGCAGGCTATGGCCTGGGAGAGTGGAGGTGGCTGGTGGGCAACCAAGCTGCTGCTCCTCCTCCCTTCCTGGGCCCTTCTCTTAGCCCTCCAGGCAGACTGCTTTGAGAACATCCCACCTCACCCCACCCCCACCCCCACCCCCAGTGCCGTGCTGTTGGCTTATACCTCAAAACAGGCAAGGCGGTGCTTTCGAAAGCTGCCAGGCTTTCTAGAACCATGAGAGTCAGCTGTTAAACATTTGCTTTGGTCTACCACCTTGCTAGGTAACAGAGACACTCAGGGGGTCCACCAGGCCCGGCTCCTTCTCCTATGGAGGAAGGGTAGGCTACAGGGAAACACGGTTGCTGGCCTAATGATTTCACAGATTAAATCAATCAAGGGTGAGAGGCGTGGTGTAAGAAAATGTCCTGAGTCAGGAAGAGCTTTGTGTGCGTGTTGTGACGCTGGTTGTAGGGGACACTAGTGACCAGGGGAGGGTTCCTCGACAGCAACGACATGTAAGCAGATCCCTAAAAGATTGGAAAGGAGATTGCCACCCTTGGGCCCAGGGAACAGCAGGATCAACAATTTGAGAGCATAAATAAATCTTTCCTACAGTTGTCAACGGTTCCTGTTAGGGTTAGGAGCATCATCTTCTTGGGCTAGGACAGCAGCCTACTGGCCTCTCCCTCTGCAGTCAGAGAACACGATACAAGGTCATTATCTCAAACCCTCTGTACTCTGTGTGTGTGCATTTGTGTGTGTGTGTCTGTGTCTCTGTGTGCCTCTATGTGTCTGTGTGTCTTCCTGCCTGTCTGCCTGTCTCCCATTCTCACTCGCGGCAGGGTTTCTGGCTCTCTAACTCAACAGGCAGAGCCAGCAGCAATTCCCCAGCCTCAGAGCAGGCTGCTTTCCCCAGAGTACCATCCCAACTCCTACAGTTTCTATAGCCCTACCCGGTGCTCTCCAATAACAAAGTACACGTGTCCAGGTCATAAAAAGTAAGGAGACTGGAGCAAGGGGTGTCATTTATCTGGTAGCATGCTTCTCAGCACAAGGCTCTGAGTTTGATCTCCTGCACCGCATAAACCAAGTGAGGTGGTACATGCTTATCATCCGAGCACTGGGTAAGTAGAAGCTGGAGGATCTGAGGTTCAAGGTCATCCTTAGCTATATAGTGAGTTTGAGGCCAGCCTTGGCTACATGAGATGCTATCTCAGAAAAATCAAGGAGACTGACCAGAGACATTTCCACGGCAAGATAGATGAATAGCCCCACACCAGCTGCATCTGCAGACAAAACCAGGACAGAATGGACAGTTCATGACTGACACCCAAGGTTGTTCTCTGACCTCCACCTGTGCATCAGGGCAAGTGTCTGCCCACCCCGCCCCCCAGACAGAGAGAGAGAGGAGAGAGGAGAGGAGAGAGAGGCGATAGATGGATGGATAGATAGATAGATAGATAGATAGATAGATAGATAGATAGAGGATATAAGGAAGATGATAGACGGATTGCTAGATGGATAGATGTAGATTGATAGATTGATAGGTGATAGATGGATAGTTGATAGAGAGATGATGGATAGATGATACATACATAGCTGATAGATAGAAAATTTTCATCTAGCCTTATTGTAATGAGATACAGAGCAGACCATGAGAAACCTTCAAAGCAGCCTACAGAAGCCAACATGGAGAAGTCAACATGCCCTGACTTCTACCAAACAAGAGGATGAGAAATTAAAGGAACCATGGATCCAGTGTAGCAATGAAGTATGGGAAACCCCTCACTCTGCACCCCTGGGAGTTAGATGAAAGCTTTCTTCAGATAAACAAGTTTTGAGAGCTTCCCACTCTCCTCCCAAATACTTTGAATCAAAGGAGATTTTTTTCCTTCTCCTCCTCTTCTTTCCTCCTCCCCATTCTTCTCTTCTTCCTCCTCCTCTCCTCCTCCTCCTCCTCCTCCTCCTCTTCCTCTTCCTCCTCCTCCTCCAAGATAAGGTTTCTCTGTGTAACAGCCCTGGTTGTCCTAGAACTCACTTTTAGACCAAGACGGCCACAAACCCACAGAGCTCCACCTGCCTCTGCCTGAAGTACTGGGATTACAGCCGTGCACCACCACCACCTGGCCCAAAGGAGATTTTCAGTCACCTTCTTGGCTAGTCAGAAAATAGAATCCCAGAATCTGTCTCTGATATAACAAAAAGTGATAAACAAAAAACAAAACAAAAAAAAGTAGTCATGATCACAGTATCCCATGACTGAGGCCTTAAGGATTAAAGGTAGGCTATAGCGCTGTAGAAGCAAGGGTTGCTAAGAATTCCTGGTGTCCCTTCTGACTACCTGAGATGGGACATTTGAAAACAATGGATGAGCTGTAGGTCTTGGTCAGCTGATGCTGCACAGCAGGTGTGACAGGGACACTAAAGCAATGGGTGTGTCACGGGAGCATGCCACCAAACCACCAGGATGTCCACGGAAGCTAGGCTACCCCTGAGTCACTGTTCCAGGAGCCATGAGGTCCTAAAACCTTTACCTCTAGCCTGATATTGGGTGATGTTGATGTTGACGTCTCAGGGACCACACTCTGAGAACAATTATATGCAAACTAAAGGCCCAGAGGGTGAAGTTCCCAACCCACCAGGGAGGGAAGAACAAAGCCCCTATGCTGACCTTCAACCTCCAGGCCAGACCACTCTCCCAAGCACTTTATACTTTGGGCTAGACGTGATCATTTGGGGCTTTGTGGGTCAGGTGACTCTGCCACCGGTACCCAGGTCCTCAGTGTGATCAAAATCAGATGGAGAGGTGAGGAACTGAGGGCGTGGCTATGGTCTGACAAAAGGAATATTAGACCAGGTCTTTGTCTTTCTTCCTTCGCCAGGCTGGGGTGGAACCAAGGGCCTCAAGCATTCAAGGTGAAGGGATACTGGTGAGCCAGGCACACGCTTTTCAGAAAAGCAGGCAAGGGGTTAGATGTACCCTGTGGCTATTCCTGTGTTTGGCACCTACGGTGGCCTCCACGGGCCTGAGGCTTCCTGTCTCTGTAGCAAGGCTGGGATCAGCGCTGTCAGTATTCTTAGCATCTTGTAAGGTGTGTGTATGTGTGTGTGTGTGTGTGTGTGTGTGTGTGTGTGTGTGTGTGTGTGTGAGAGAGAGAGAGAGAGAGAGAGAGAGAGAGAGAGAGAGAGAGGCGTGTGTGTGCACGCATGTTGGTGGTGGTAGCAAATCCCCATTCTTATCCCCAGTCCTCTGACTCCAACCCTTTGGTTGAGCAGCCAGGCTGTAAACGTGACCTATTTCTACTCTCAGGGCTGAGAAGGAGGGGAAATAAACCCGGAACTGATGAAAGCCCAGGCATGGAAACTGATGTATCAGGCCTGCATTTGGGGAATGACAACTTAGTTGATGGTTTATGACCCTGAAGACACCCCCTCCTGCCACATTCTCCACTTTATAGTTCAGATTTGGGGTAGAAGGTGTGGGGGGGGCTGTCTATCAAAACCGGAGTGTATGAGTTAATGGTGGGAGCCTATATGGCCCCTTAGACTCCCCTACCTTTGTGCTCCATATGCAGCTGGAGGTGTGAGGAAGATCAACTCCCACACATGCGCACGCTGCACACACACACAAATATACACACACATGCATATGCACACTCATGTAGTTATTAACAATGTCATTGATCATCCATGGATAAAGATTTTTAACATTTACCCATGTTGTACTGTGTGTGTGCATGCACACACACACACATAGCAATGTATGCATCTTGAACTCCTGATCTTCCTGCACTGGGCTTACAGGAGCACACCCCCATGTGCAGTTCAAAATCACACATCTCACATATCTCTGCATGTGTATGTTCATACACGTTCACGCCTGTGTCTGCAGGTACACATTCACATTCAGGTGCACACGCACGTATTTGTGCATGTGTATGCAGGCATGGGTACAGGCGTGTGTTCCTGTGTGTGCATGCAAGGATGGAGACCACGGACCAACTTCAGCTTTCCTGCCCCAGGCACCATCCACCAGTGTGTTTTGAGCCTCTCGCTGGACTGTGCTCTCCTCATAGCCAGGCTGTCTGGCCCGGGAGCCCTAGGGACCCACCTGTCAGCACTCCCACAGCCCTGGGATTGCATGAGGGGATCGCCATCCCTTCTTTCCATATAATTATAATTAGTGTGTGTATGTGTGGGAGACGCATGTGCACGGCGTGCGTGTAGAGACAGAGACCGAGGATACTGTGGAGTCAGTTGTCACCTTCCGCTTTTACATGGGTTGAAGTCAGGTCACCATGCTTACAGAGCGAGCGCCGTCAGCCACTGGGCCATCTTGCCAGGCCCATCCACCTTTCCTTTTTACGTGGGTTCAGGGAATCCAACTCAAGTCTTCATGCTTACAACACAAGCACCGTACCGACCTGTTTGGGGGTTCATTTCCTTCTGTGTGTGAGGCTACTCCACGGACAGGTTTCTGTGTTTTCACGGATGCAGCTGGGTCCCACCTAGCTCAAGAAAACAAATCACCTGTTTGCGCAGAGTGCTCATTGCCACTCTGCAGCTACAAGAGTGTAAATCTGGAAACAACCTCCGCTCCACCACCTCCCCAAGCCTGTGCAGAGTAAAATAAGCCATGGATGTCCTTCCGACACCGCCCAAAGATTGCAGTGGAATTCTCCACTGAGAAGGGACAGTGTCCCGCAAATGTCCCGCGTGCTGTCTGGCCAAAGCATCTAGCAGGACAGAGCTATGCGTGCGGGTCTGTGAGCACGGGCGTTTGTGTCTCCCAGAGACTATTTAACTAACTACTAGCAGCTGCTGTCTAGGGCCGGCATTGGAAGATTTGCATTTTTGCATTAGGTTTGTTTCTCTCTGGAATATCATGTTTCTTCCTCTTTGGGGAGAACAGAGAAGACTTTGTAGTGGGGATTGGGTGGCCAACCAGCGCCACTTTGATTGATTGATTGGTTTGACAATTTCATACATCTATTGATCATATTCATCCCCACCCCTTCCCATTCAACTCTCCCTGGGTTCCCCCACACACACTACATATCTCCCTTCCAACTTTCTGTCTCCCTCCTCTTCTTTCATGGCCTCTGAGACCTATCAGATTTTCTTGTGTGTGCATGGATGTAAGGCCATCCCCTGGAACATGGGCAAACACTATCAGGAGAGTCACTTTGGTTTTGTGCCTTGGAGTCGCCTCTCCCCACCCTCACCCAGAATGTGGCTCCTCCCCGCAGCAAGGTTCTGTGTCCTGTGTGTTGCAGACTCCGACAGCCAGTGCAGCCCCACACGGCACAGCCTCAGCCTGTCCGAGGGCGAGGAGCAGATGGACCGGCTACAGCACGTGGAGCTGGTGAGGACCACGCCCATGTCCCACTGGAAGGCTGGCACAGTGCAGGCCTGGCTGGAGGTGGTGATGGCCATGCCTATGTACGTCAAGGCCTGTGCAGAGAATGTCAAGAGTGGGAAGGTAGGCAGCTCGGGCCCCTGGGGGATGCCCCTGGGGGATGCCCCTGGGGGATGCCCCTGTACCTTCCCATGGGTGCCCTCCCCTCCCAGGAGTCAACTGTCTCTATTGTCCTCTGAGGACAAGAGGAGGTATAATCTAGAAGTGGACCGACTTATTGCAGGTCCAGGTCACCAATAAACCAGTCAGTCTTCTTAGCAAGGAACAACAGCCCCTTGGAGTCATGCTACCTTGTCCTTAAAACTGGACTAACTTCAGCTGGTACCCAACCTCTCCTTAGCTGGCAGAGAGGAACAGGGCTGGACTGGGGAGTTCCTTAGCCTAGATGGTGGCCTCACCCATCCTGGTCCAAACAGTATCCCACCCAAACAACACACAAATAACAGTAGCTGAGCCCAGGACCTCTGGAGCCCAGTAGGGGTGACACAAAGACACAGCCATGCATCAGACAGAGCTGAAGCAGGATGGTCCCAGGGGACATGGGTCCCACAGCTCCTAGAAACAGGCTTATTTATTTATTTATTTGAGATGCAGTTTCTCTGTGTAGCCCTGGCTGTCCTGGAACTCACTCTGTAGACCAGGCTGGCCTCAAACTCAGAGATCCACCTGCTTCTTCCTCTGGAGTGCTGGATTAAAGGCATGAGCCACTACTCACTAGAGACAGGCTTTGTTGGGAGTTATCAACCATCACAGGCTGCAGAGGTGTCCTGGTACCCTATCTAGGGAGATGGGCTCAGAGGAGGATGCGGATGAGGAGCCCTGTTCCCTCAGACCCTTCTGTACTGACCCCAGGAGCAATGACAGGGTCTGGGGCTCCAGGAGCCAAGGCCAGAACCTCCTCACCCCTTGCCCCATCTCTTGCCTCTGGGCACTAAGTCTACCTCCTGCAGGTGCTTCTCAGCCTGAGTGATGAGGACCTGGAGTTGGGCCTGGGTGTGTGCAGCTCCTTGCACAGGCGCAAGCTCCGCCTGGCCATCGAGGACTACCGTGACGCCGAGGCTGGCCGCAGGTGAGCCACCGAAGCCTGGAAAGTAAGGACTTTCTGTCCTGAGCCTCCCTGTCACCCAGGCAACCAGGTTTCAGGACATTGAGTGTAGCAGATATGGCCCAGGTATGCCCTGGCACCATAGAAAAATGAGCACACAGGGGGAGGCGCACATGCCTAGAATATGGGTGACTACCTCCACCTCAGAGCAGGGGTCAAGAGAGTGGGTGGCTCCCAGCACTCTTCCACCCACCCCAGCTGGCAGGGACCAGGCCACACACAGCTAACGCGCCTGCCTTACTCAAAACTCAGGTCTATTCTTCCCAGAGTGAAGGAATGAAGGAGGGAAGACAGTAGACACAGAGGAGAGAGAGGAGACAAAGGTCCTAGAGAGTCTCATAGAAGTCTTTTACAGGAACAGAACCAACTGGTCCAGGCCTCTCTTAGCAGGTGTACCTGATGGTACACCTTACTGGGGCACACTTCCTCCCAGTACCACCCCCCTCCCAGCCCCACCCCTTTCCCACTTCTCTCTTGACCTCCTGAGGTTCCATCTTTTGAGCAGCTCCTGTGAAAAGGGAAGCCCCCTCCCCCAACACCCAGTCCTTGGTGCTCAGAGTGGGGAGGGGCCAGTTTTGTAAACCTGACACGGTCTGTTTTGCATAATTATCTCCTTCGCTGGTTTCCCGTCGTTTCTGTACAGTTAATTAATCGAACCTGATGGTGTGTGCTACTATCTGCAGAAGCTGCTTTGTGGATTAGCAGAGAGAGAGAGAGAGAGAGAGAGAGAGAGAGAGAGAGAGAGAGAGAGAACTGAGGGATGAAGAAGAAGGCCAGTTCTGAAGCAGAGAAACACAATCTTATGTGGCAGGAGAGGGGCCCTGGTGCCAGGCCGAGGTGGCAAGGGTTACAGAGAAGGGTCCTAAAGCTGGCAGCTTGGAGCCAGCAGCAGAGGGGTCAGGCTCGGATGAAGGCTGATGGGGTGGCTCCAGGAGGCACCCTTCAACCCTGCTGGACTTTTATCCAGAGGGCTCCAGAAGCACCTTCCCAGCCCAGCCACCTCCTGACCCCTTCTGTCCTCTGGACCCCAAGTCCTCAAGCATCTTCCATCCTGACCTCTGGATCGAGTAACCCCCTCCTGCTCTCACCACACCCTACGTCCTGGAGGTGTCCTGCATGCTGCCCATGTTCCTTGAGAATGTGGGGCTGCTGGCTTCAGCTTTCAGAAGTGCAGGGAGTCTCCACCACTATCTAAGTGTCCACCACTGTCCCCAAAGCATGGCTGTCCCCATCAGCTTGGGTTGCCGTAACAAAATGCTACCAGCTGGGTAGCATAAACAACAGACATCTATTTCTCCCGGCTCTGAAAGCTACAAGTCTCAGGCAGCAAGGTGCCAGGACGGCCAGGCTCCACCAGGGGTACCCCTCCTGGTTCCACACTGCAGCCTTCTTACTGGATCAGCGCACAGAGAGGGGGACAATCGTCTCCCGTGGACCCACTTCAGACACCATCATATAGACATGCAGATGGAGGGGATAAACACTGGTCCATGGCTGGAGTTGAACCTGAAATCCACCAGGAGCTCAGAAAGGTGTGGTTCAGACGCACAGCCACGTGTGCAGGGGAGAATTGAAGCAGATGGTCCTAAGGGACGTGGGGGTCCTCACATTAGAAAGCCCAGGTCCTATGAAGAGAGACCTACTGTGAAATCGCCATGTGAGGTCACTTTGCCTTCTCTGGGACTCAGTTTCCTTACCTGTGAAGCAAAGAGGGAAGAGTTAGCCAAAAGTTCAGGGTTGGACCCTTTTAGGAATCCAGGAGAGGCTTCGATGCCTTCTTCAGATGAACTGTCGTAGACTGCGTAACTTTGCATCGTGAGCCCTTTGACTTGGTCATAGAACTTCTAAAAGGCCGTGGATTCTGGGGTCAGAGTCCCAAGGTAGGTTGCTTCAAACTCTTCCAACTATGATAATGGACATGGGCACCCTGGACCCAGCAACCCCCCCTTGCCAAACCTTCACCTGTCTGTTTATGAACACAATTCCTCTCACCCATTCCACCCATGCCTCAGACAAAATCAGCCTACAAGCTGAAGTCAACCCAAGTGTGCCAGGTACACACATGGGGATCTGGGACCTTTGGCAAGAGAAAGGACCCTGGCCCAGGGGTGTTCCTGAAAGGTGTCTGGGAGTCTCTAGGAGATGATAAAGAGGAAATAGTGGGCAACAGGTCCCGTCGTGGGACACCAGCCAAGCAGTTCCAGGAGGCTGGAGCAGAGGAAGGGAGAGGGTGCCAGGACTCGTGCAGACATTCTGCCAGTATAGTGGATTCCATTTGTATTTTAATAAATAAAGCTTGCCTGAGGATCAGAAAAGTAAAGCAGCCACACTGGCCAGCCTTACAGACCAGGCAGCAATGACACACAACTTTAATCCCAGTAGCCACAATGACACACATCTTTAGTCCCAGTAGTCACACTAACTTGCCATAGAAACCAGATGGCAGTGGTGCATGCCCTTAATCCCAGAACTAGAAAGGAATATAAAACAAGAGGAGACAGCTCTCAATCTCCGTCTCATTCTGAGATTGCTGGAGGCAGGATCGCCATTTTCAGACTGAGGTCGAGGTAAGAGCCAGTGGCTGACTGCTTTGCTTTTCTGGTCTTCAGGTCGAATCCCAGTATCTTTCTCTGAGTTTTTATTAATCGTGCAACATGCCTTCAGGTAGTCAGTGCGTGTCTGCCAATCAGCCCCACCCCCACTCAGAGCGGAGAGAAGAGTCACACCCCACAGCATTCGCCGGCTTCTTTATGAACACAATTCCACTCACCCATTCCGTTCAGACCTCAGACATAATTGTCCCCATGTTCACAACTCTCAGTGAACACGGCCCTGGTCCTGACCGCCACTCCTGCACCCTAAATTAGGGGCGAGGGACAATAAACCAGCGGATAAATCCCTTTGTACTTAAATGCAACGTGCATTGAGTGCTTTGAGGGCAATAAGCAGAGCGGCAGGACTGAAGGGGGGGGGGATAACCTGAGATGGAGAGACAGCCCGGGGCGGGGGGGGGGAAGGGGGGAGGGAGGAGGAGGGAACCCTGTCAGCACCTTGAGTGCTGGCCCAGAAAATGCTCAGCAGGTGTTGGGATGAAGTATCTAAAATAGGAACGAAATGGTCCATGTCAGGTATCTCCAACTGCCCTCTTTGCAAGCCAATTGTGTTCCCTTGTTCTGAGTGCTCTCTCCATGCCTGCCCCTGGCTCCCACTAGCCAGCACATGGTCATTTTTCAGGGTCCCTCTGCAGCTGCGTTGCCAGGACCTCATTCCTTCTGTGAGGCTGCCACCTTGTGGCAGTCAGAAGAATGACATCTAGGAACCACCTTAGCGAGGTGTATTCCCCACCCTTCAGCACAAAGTCTTTTTGCAGAAGGCACCCCAGGTGGCTCACAACCAGTACCGCCATTCCAGGCAGACACCCTCTGGCCTCCTACACCCACACGCACAGGCACACTCACACGTACACATAAAAATAGTGAATAAATATTTTAAAGCCTGTTGTTGCATACCTACAATGTGCATGCTTCCGAGGTTCTGTCCTGCGCAAACGTCTGAGGTGTGGCAGCGAGGTAGCAAGAGCAGCCTGGGGACAGGGCAACTTGGATTTCTCTGACTCAGAGATGAGCCAATGAGGGAAGGGCTTAGCCACAGCCCTGTCTTGGGACAGGAGACCTGGAACACTATGTGTGGATCCATGAAGGCTTCTCATCCTCCTCCAGTCAGGAAGAGGGACCAGAGGGTAGCAGTCGGGTGGACAGGGGAGGGTTATGGTCAGGCTGTGGCTTTGAGGAGTCCTGCAGAGCCCAAGGGGAGTAGGGTGGGTCACGGTGAGGAGGGGTCCCCCAGAGCTACACCTGCTATAGGTAACACTTCTGACTCTGCCCTTTCAGTTTTAGCCTGGGTGTGGTCCAAGGATATTCATTTTGTCTCTGCGATCCTCGGCTGTTCTTTAGTTCTGTCTGCCTATCTGCCTTACTCTACCTCCCTTCCCACCTCTGCCTGAGTCTCTGTGTCTTTCTGTCTGTCTCTGCCTGTCTTAGTTGCGCTTTCTCTCTCTCTCTCTCTCTCTCTCTCTCTCTCTCTCTCTCTCTCTGACTCCACATCTCTGATCATCCCATCCCTTTCCTCATTGGTCTCTGGCTTTCTTGTCTATTCCCTGCCCTGTCTTTTGTCCTCTCTACCCAGCTCTGACCCCACCTGCCCCTGCCTCTGACACTTTCCCCATTCCCACTTCTCTCTTGCTCTCCTCTCTTTCTCTGGCTGTGTCTCCTCAGCCTGTCCAAAGCAGCCGACCTGGACCATCACTGGGTGGCCAAGGCCTGGCTGAACGACATCGGCCTATCCCAGTATTCCCAGGCCTTCCAGAACCACCTGGTCGACGGGAGGATGCTGAATTCCCTGATGAAGCGGGACCTGGAGAAGCACCTGAACGTCTCCAAGAAGTTCCACCAAGTCAGCATCCTGCTGGGGATTGAGCTGCTGTACCAAGTGAACTTCAGCAGGGAGGTGAGGACTATAAAGGGCAGGGCAGGGGCAAGACTATCCCACAACCCTTCTCCACATCCAATCCCTGTCCAACCATTCACCCACCCAGCCACTGGTCCATCCATCCCTTCGCTTATTCATCTCCCAATCTATCCAACCAGTCGTCCACTCCTCTATCCACCCACCCACATATCCATGCACCCATCTGTTTACCCATCCAACCCTCCACCCACCTGCCCACCTATTGCCCAGCTACTCCCATCTATTGACCTACCCAGTGTCGGTCCATCCAACACTTCACGCACCCGCCCATATACTTACCCACAGTCCATCTACTCCCCGTCTATCTACCCACCCATAAACACATCTATCTATTCCTATGTCTCCCCATTCATTCACTTACCCATTCCTTCGTCCAATCCATCTCTTCCTCTCTCCTCATTCTAGCAACTCCTTACTTGAGTAGACGAGAGCCTATGGCCAGTTCAGGGGGCCTAGGGAACTCTCAGTCTCAGAGAATCCGTGGCTCATCAGGGAGACCCACTGAAGTCCACGGTGACAGCCCTGGGGAGGGCTCTCGGAAAGCTCTGAGAAACACCTTGGGGATCAAGGAGAGTCCCTGAGGTCATGGAGATAAACAAAGAGCTGTTGCAGAGATCACCATCTGACAATTAAGGAAGAAAATGCAGCCGAGAGGACCATGGTGCTCAAGCCCCAGAGTTCAGCTCTGCAGCGGCAACAAAACAGAATGAGAAAGGGAGGGAAATTGGCTTCCGGTGGGGGTGGCAGCCAAAGTCCTGGCTGTTGTGGTAGCTTAAGTTTGGATGCCCCTTGATTCTGAATTCTGCTAAGCCAGAGAACAAAGGACCCCAGCCCCAATCCCCTACAAGCCCCCCCGGAGGAGGTCCCTGAGAGGCTGGTCCTCGGGGTTGGGTCCTCGTGGTTGACTCTCTGGAGCCATGCCAGAGCATAAGTAGCCCAGTGTTGAGAGAGGATCGCAGAGAAGGTGGTCAGCTTTGTGATCCGGTCACCACTGCATGACTGGGCAGAAGGAGAAGATGGGGACCAGGTCTTGGGCTCCAGAAGCCCCAGGGTAATGAAGAGGGCAGACATGGGGGTGTTCTGACAGTAGTACACGGAGCAGGATCCCCTGAGCTGGGGAAACTGAAGGGAACTTTGGGCTGGAAGTCCTAGAGAGGGTGTCTTAGCCGTTGCTCTGTTGCTGTGAAGAGACGCTGTGGTGGAGGCAACTTATAAAAGCATTTAACTGGGGCTTGCTTACAGCTTCAGAGGGTTCATCTGTCTCCATCACGGCAGGAAGCCTGAGAGCAGGGAGGCAGGCGCGGTGCCGGAGCAGCAGCTCAGAGCTTACTATGTCTGACCCACAAGTAGAGGCAGAGAGACGGAGACTGAGAATAGCAGAGGCTTCTGAAACCTCAGAACCTACCCTCAGTGACACACCTTCTCCAACAAGGTCCCATCTCCTAATCCTAATCTGTCCTAAACATTTCCACCCAATGGAAACCATAAATTCAAATATATGAGTCTCGGGGCCATTCTTATTCAGACGACCACAGAGGGTATGCCACTGAAGCTCTCTGCCTGGGAACCTGTGAAGGGGCAGCGAGCTGAATCATCCCAAGCCCCCACAGACAGTGTTTTAAACCAGGACGCCCAGACCCTAAGAACCTCCCCACCATAGGCAGAGTCTCCACAAATGTCCTTCACTGTTCCTATCGCTGGGGGACACTGCGATGCCGCAGGCCTGGGGGACACTGAGTAGGCAGAGTGTGAGTCTCTACCCAGTCTACACCCCGGTCCCCTGCACCCTAGGAGGCAGCTCCTTCTATTTCTCACAACACAGATGGTATGGTCCAGGCAGCTGTGGGTCCAGCACTCTGCACCCTCCATGTGTCCCTCATCTCCTCGGCTGACTCCCTGTCCCCATCTCCCAGGTCCTCCAGGAGCGCCGAGCCCGCTGTGAAACGCAGAACACAGACCCTGTGGTCTGGACCAACCAGCGGGTGCTCAAGTGGGTACGGGATATCGACCTGAAGGTGAGGGGTGACGGTGGTGGAGGCGCGGTTCTCTAGCCTAAGCAAATGACATGCAAATCAATGCTCACTTTGGTGTAAGTGGGCACCGTCACCCAGCCAGACAAGGTCATGAACTTTCTGTAAGGATTCTTTACTGCTATAATAGGACCCCTGTTAAATGCTCTCATTGCTGGGGCAATTCTTAGCGATGTTGCTTTCCATAAATATCTATGGCTCCTGCCAGGGTCCAGCCAGTGTCAGTGATCTAAGACCCCTATGTTTACGGCTCAGAGGATGAGGAAGAGGCCCCCTTCACTTTCAAATCAGTTGGTCCGCATGGGTAAAGCCCTTGCGGTTGGGGTCATATCTCTACTTGGTTCAGTTGGTCCCTGAGACTCCCAGCCTCACGCTTCTGCCGTCAGGAGTATGCAGACAACTTGACTAACAGCGGTGTTCACGGTGCTGTGCTGGTGTTGGAGCCCACGTTCAATGCCGAGGCCATGGCCACCGCCCTAGGCATCCCCAGCGGGAAGCACATCCTCCGGAGACACCTGGCAGAGGAAATGAGCATCATCTTCCATCCGAACAAGTGAGTGTGTAGGGCGCAGGCGCGAGGTGTGGGGCGCAGGTGCAGGGTTTGGGGCACAGGCGCGGGGTGTGGGGCACAGGCGCGGGGCGTGAGGCACAGGCAGGGGATGTGGGCCGCAGGCAGAGGGTGTAGGGCACGGTGCAATGTGTGGGCCACGCGGGTCACAGGGCACAGGCTGAGGATGCTGGCCACTGGGTCCAGGGCACAGGGCGAGGAAGCAAATGGTAATGTCACAGCCTCGGTCCTAACCTGGCTGAATGTCACTCATTCTTGTGCCAAACTGGTCAGGAAGCTGAGGATCTGGGGTCAGATACTAAGAAAAGGAGTGTTGGGTCCTGAAGGCAGTATGGGTTCACCGCTGGGACCTTCAGAGTTGGGAGAGGGAGCAGCTGTGGGTGAGAAAGGCTGAATGAGGTGTGGCTTGAGCTGGGGACAATGTACACTGACTTCAAGGAACACGGTGGCTGTTCTGCCAGTTGTAGCCATGGGGACAAAGATTTAGAGGCAGGATTTGGCATATAAAGTGTGCTTCTGATCCAATGGAGCAAGGCACAGCCACCCACCGACCCTGAACCCCTTTCCACACAGACAGCCCAGACCCTCTCTATGGATGTGCCCCCACCAGTGGTGCACTGGGGTCACACTAGGGTGTGAATCAGCATTTGCGCCGCGTTTACTGGAGACATATTCACCCCAGCATCCCTTCACGGGTGACGAGCTGGGTCTGAGGGCCACTGCTTTCCACGGTCACCCAGCAGCAAGTGGCCACATCCTGCTTGGTCTTGTGTTATAGTGATACTGTGAATTACATTTCTGCTCATATGTCGAGCCAACCTTGCATTCTTAGGACAGGGCTCTCTTGCTCAGAGCTTACCGCCCTTTCTGCTGTTCGATCTGAGTTGGTACAGTGGGAGATTTTTACATTTATAGTCATAAGCCCTGCTGGTTTATACAGTTTGATTTGGTTTGGGCTTTGGGTTTTTTCTTGTTGTTTTTTCCTTTTCCTTGAAGAAGAGTCGGAATCTATTAAAAGACATTTTTTTAAGCATGAAGATTAAGAGAAAAAGAGGTGCTGTGGAAGGAAGTAAGACATACTCAAGGGGAGCTGGAGAGATGGCTCCGTGGGTAAGAGCGCAGTCTGCTCTTCTCAAGGACATGGGTTCAATTCCCAACACCCACCTAGCAACTCACAGCTGTCTGTAAGTTCGAGAGGAACTAACATCCTCTGAAAGAGCAGCCGGAACTGTGGGAGTGGGGACGATGACCGTGGGTGACTCTCTTACTAACTCACAACCTGTGAAATGTCCCAGCTCCACAGGTATCCGGGAGTCTGAGCGCTTTGGGACGCCGCCTGGCAGGGCCTCGAGCATCACCAGAGCTGGAAAAGAGGAAGGCAGCAGCAACAGCAAGTACAGAGGCGGCCGGGTAAGCAGTTTCTCTGTCCTTAGGGCCAGGCAGTCTCTCCTGGATGGACCTATGGCTCCTTTGTCACCTGTGGACCTGGAGCAGCCTCAGGTCCCAGGTGCATGCAGGAGAGCCACCGTGTACATAGGCCCTTGCTTAAGACAATGCCCAGTGACGAGCATCCAAGGCAGAGTCTATGGCAGGGTGGCTAGAGACTGTGGAATCGCCTCATCCTAGCCTCCTGAAGCAAAGAGCCCCATGGGTGCAGAGCACCTCACACAGCTGGCTGCCAGGAAGGGTCAGGGAGCCCTAGATCTGAAAACCTCTGACTTAGACAAGCAAAGAACCTCTGGTGTACCCAGCAGGGCTGCACACAACAGGGGCAGCTGGCCAGAGACCAAACAGAAGCTGTAGTTGTAACCAGCATCATGGTTGCCACACTCATGTCTTCCCCTTCGCTTGGTGGCACCTGGACCTCGGTTGAGCACATCTTTACCCTGGGTTGGTCACCCTTGCAGGACTTAGTTCTGCTCCTTCCCACAGTCTACCCAGGTCTCCATCGCTTTTCCCATCTTGCAGCTGAGAACAATCAAGGCTCAGAGATGGGCAGTGCTCACCTCAGGTTCCGCAGCCAGAAGTATAGAACAGGGACTCGAAGGCCCATCCACAAGCCCCAAGCTCATACTTGTGGCCATACTAGGTGGCATTACAATATCCTTCCGGATTGAGAATTCAGTTTGGGAGGCTTTGTCCCATCTACCCGCTCTCAACAGGAGGGAGGGGGAAGATTGTAGGACCATTCATCCAAAGTCACCCTTGGGCCGAGCAGTGGTGGTGCACACCTTTAATCCCAGCACTCTGGAGGCAGAGGCAGGTGGATCTCTGTGAGTTTGAGGCCAGCCTGATCTACAAAAGCTAGTTCCAGGACAGGCTCCAAAGCTGCAGAGAAACCCTGTCTCGAAAAACAAAACAAAACAACAAAACAAACAAACAAACAAAAACCAAAGTCATTCTTGGTAACTACTGGAATCCCTCTAGCTGGACATTCAAATGTTAATTCCTCATGGTAAGTCCACAGATCCCTTCCATGGGTCTGGGAAGCAGGGATGGTACTAATAACGGAGGAGCCCCGAGAGGTCCAGGGAGACGCTGAAGTTCACACAGCAGTTAGACTGGAGACGCCGCGCCCGCCTGGTTCTCATCTCTCTCTTCCTCTGCCCTTTGGTTTGTGTCTGTCTCCTCAGCTACCCCTGGGGAAGATAGGAAGAGGCTTCAGCAGCAAAGAAGCTGAGTTTCACGACGACTATGGCTCTCTTGAGAACGAGGACTGTGCGGACGACGACCTCCAAGGCAGGCCCGAGCAGTGCCGCCTGGAGGGATACAATAGCCTGGAGGTCACCAATGTGTAAGGAAGCCTCGGGACTCAGCTACGAAAGCGGAGAGAGAAGAGCAGCCCCACGACCCAGTGCCGTCCATCCCCACTGTACAGAGAGGCCTGGGACTGAGGGCAGATGCCAGGACAGACTTCCCAGAGACAGCCGCCACTTCCAGTGGGCACCAAGAACCGAGAATGCCCACCTAGGTGTCTTATATCTCTGAAGACAGGCCCCGAGGACACATCACCCAGTCATGACCCAGCAGGTGGCCCCGGTGCTGTGGCTCACGGAACAAACCGGATGGTCCTGGCACTCTACCCTGAACTTCCAAGAAAGGGAGGAGTGTCAGTGCCAGGGCCTGGAACACCCTTCTGGGAGGAAACTGCCCCCTCCGCCCACCCAGCCTTGGCAGAGCCGGGGCATTGAGAACCAGCTGCAAAGCCAGCCAGCAGTGGCCAGGTGGTGAATGCCGCCCCTCAGCCCACTGGGCAGAGAACGTGAACTCTGACCTGGTCACTCACTCTGGAAGGATGCAAAGTGGCACCGGCCTTCCTTCCACTTTAAGAGCACTGCATCGTGAGGTAGACATGTTGGGAGCAGGAGGGGATCTCTGCAGGGCAGAGGGGCCTGGTGGCAGCAGCCCCAAAGGCTGCAGGCATCCTGTCACCAGGATGGATGTGACTTTAAGAGTGTGTGTGGTGGTGGGGGTTACTGAGCTCTGTCCCCAAACAGCCATTCCAAGCATGGGCACAAAATGGGGGAGTGCCTGCCATTAACCCAACAAACCTCTGTTGTGACGTCACCTGAGACAGGTGTGCCCACCCATGACCTAACAGGTTGCTGGGCTATCCGGGCAAGGAGCTCCCAGCCCTATTCTTGATCTGCCACTATTTTGTGTGTGGCTTTCTCCCAGTGGCCTCACCTCTCTGTGCCTCAGTGTCTTACCTATAACACTTCTGGTTCCTCCCAAGGAAGCTGAGGATTAACATTTGCTAACATTTGCCACAAGCTTTGAGCCTCTCAGGAAGCAGCTTAGAATGGATGGGATGGGGAGGAACGGGAGGAACGAGCCTAGCAACTTCCATCCACCACACGTGCGGACAATGGATGAGTTCGCTCCGTTTCCTGTTGGGTCCACAGCCAAGAGGACGGTGCAGAATGTTTAACACTGAGAGCTTCCCAAAGCCCCCAGCAAGGCCTGGCTGGGAGAGCCAGCACTGCGGTGGCCCAGAGTCCTATTGGGTGCAGCATCCAGGCCTAAGCCCACTGGGCAGAGACTTTGCCTGTTGCCACGAGGGAGGACGGCAGTTGTACTCAGCACGGTTATTCTGCACCAACTCTCTGAGGCCATTTGCACCAGGAGTCCAAGAAAGGTTCAGATTCCCAAAACTGACAGTGGGGTAGCCTCTGAGCCACCAAAGCCAGTTTTGTGCCATGATATAAAGGACCACACACAGCCCATGAACTTGAGAGCTGCTGGTCTCCATGTTGAAGACATCTCTCTAACTCAGCTTCTCTCAGGTTCTGCACCCTGGAGGGTTTATAGCATGCATCCCCGCCTCTGGAATCCCGAAGCCCCTGAGTCTGCAGCCCAGCAAGAGGAGGGAGGCCCTCTTCTAACTGAGGCCAAGTACCACTCTCAAACTGCATCCCCAAAGGGTGGGCACAACTCCAGGACCCAGGAATTCATCAACAGCCTCTCTGGAAAGGTTGCCGGCTGTGCTGGCTCCTGAAGGGGAAGGCCTAGGTGCACTTTCCTCCTAAGGCGGGGTTCCTACGACATCAGTAGGGCTCCTTCCTGGTGAACTCTGGGCTTCTGTCCCCGGCACCTCTGCCCGTCTCCAGCTACACGCAGTGGTCACTTCTAGCAGATTCTCAGTCTTGACTCTTCAGTGCAGGAGGTTGTCACGTGATAACAAGATCCAGAAGCAGAGAGAAGGGGTTTCTTCTAAGCCTGGCCAGCATGGGGCACTCAGAGCAGGCACCTCCTGCCAGCCACCCCCCAAAGATGGAAGTCATGAGGATAGGCGGGGTCTTGGCAGGCGTGACTTTGGATTTCACTGCAGGGGCATGGGAAAGATACAGCCCTGCTGGGACCATACCACCTCTTCCCAGACAGTCACTCATTCCCAAGGACTGCTTCACAGCATTGGGGGGGGGGGAGTGCCTCCTGGGTGGTGGCAGCTTCTGGGTCTCAGTTTGGGAGAAGCCAGTGTGGATAGTGACAATGACCCTGATCCAGGAAAGGTTTGTAAATGCAAAGCAAATGAGCCCTGAACGGCAGAACCCCCACACTTCCCCAGAGGGAAGTCTAACAATGTAACAATAAATGCTTGGCCTTGCGGCCACCCCTCTTTTCTCGTTGGCTTTCTCCTTTATTGTCCCAGCATCTGCTCAGAGAAGGGAGACTAGGAGCCCCTGAAACGGATGGGGGTGCTTGTTGGAAAAGCTGAGGGTCTCAAAGTGGTTAGACGTGTAGACGCTCACTGCAGATGGGTCCGTCTGAGGGTCAGCATGGTTTCCAGCCAATGCTGTGGGTCCAGGGAACCACACACAGGTGCCACACACACACAGGGATCTTCTCAGCCAAGACATTGTCATCATAGATGTGACTGGACTGTGGGTTCTACCCAGGACTCTTAGAGGCCCTGACAGAAGCCACCCAGCTTATCCTGTCTTTGTCTCCCAGACAAGAAGCTTCTGGCTTTAGACTAAGGTCAGGTGGTGTGTGCCCTCTGTAGTAGGTGCTTAGCGGGCAGGAGATGAAGAACCAGAAGATAGGGGAGGCAGCCTGGTCACAGTTTACCTGCTGCCAGGCTCTGCGCCTGAGGACCTGGTGACCCTAGGCAAATGACCCAGCCGTCCTGTTTGTCTTCTGCTAATTTTTTGTTTTGTTTGTTTGCCTTTGGAGTCAGGGTCTCGGTCTAGCCCAGGCTGGCCTGGGACTCAACCTGTAGCCCAGGCTAGCCTCTAAATTGACAGTAACCTATCTCAGGTACCTAAGTCCTGGGGTTACAGGTGTGTGCTACCGTAGCTGGCATGGTTTTGTTCAGTTTTAGTGAGATGGGTTTGCTGGAAGTGTGGTGTGAGGTTAGTGCTCTGGACGTCTTACTGAATCAGGTCATTTAAGTACTGTGCTCTGTGTCAGGCATTCGTGGGCAGAGAGGCTGTCTTTGATGTCTAAGCTTGTCATTCACAGAGCGATTTTCTTCTGGGTGGAAGGAGGGAGGTGGGTCCAGCTTCCAGATTTGCCAATTAGGAAGACTCTCTGCTCTGGGAAATTGGCCTGTAAGCATCTAAGGTGGTCCCAGGCAGGGGCTGTGTGGTCCTGTGGATAGCGTAGCACTCGGACCCAGAAAAGAGCCCATTTTGAAGTCCTAGCTCCCTTCATTAGGGAAGGTCCCAAGTGGATGTATATAAACCACCCATGCCTCAGTTTTCCCAACTGTCATATGAGAAGAGCGGTCCCTACCAGAGGGGCCTACTGTGGGGGTGAAATAGGCTGACCTATATACAGCTGGAACTCAGGTAGAAACAATTGCCTTTTCCCCCACAAGAACATCTGGCCACCTCTGGAGAAATCTGGGATGTGAAGGGACACTAGAGAGTCAAGCTGGTGTAGTGTGTCCTGGCCCAAGACATCGGTACAGCACTACTATGGAACTGTCATTGAGGATACCCTGAGTCTTGGGGTTAGTGTCCCCACGGCCTCAATTCTGTCCTGGCACCTCTGTGAACTGCCAGGACTGACCACCTCCCTGAATATCACAAGGCTCTTCCTCCCTGGGGTCTGGCTGTCTTACTCCCACCTGGAGGGAAAGGGATCTTCCTTCAAGGGAGAAGCCCCTCCAGCCACATCAGAACATCCCAGGGGCTTCATGGATCAACCACTCCACTCCCCACACCCGCTGGTCACCACTGGAGAACCAAACCAACCTCGAGAGAAATACTCTGAAAAACAATTGTGTTTGTAACAAACACGTAGGCCGTTGCCACGTCCGCACACCCTAAACAGTGTGATAGTAAGTTCCGTCTGCGCGGCCAGTAGTACTGACAGGTGTAAGTCATCTATGGGTGATTTAGAGCACTTGGGAGGCTGCTGGCAGGTGACTTGGTTTGCTGTTTCTGTGGACTTCACCCTGCTTGCTAGGCCAGCTGCTGACTTAGACCTACCTGTCAGCAGCCAACGAGCGCCCAAAGTAACTCGATTTGCCAGCTCGGTGACTCAGCCTCTGCTCCCGTCTTCCCCTTCTGGCCCTTGCTTTCCTCCAGGGAGCAGGTCTGCGCTGGTTGGCTGCTCGGCTAGGTTGGAGTTCCAGGGCACACCCTGCCCGAACACAAGCCACTGAGGCAGCATCAGCCAATCAGTCACCTTCAGAGGCGGGCTTTAAGAAAAAGCTGGACCAATAGTCAGTCTTTCGGTCTCTTCTGGATGAGGACGCCACACAAAGTATGTCTGGGAATCAAAGCTACACCTTTGAGTGGGAATTAAGGGCTTCAGGGCTTGAGCTCTGGGTTCAAGTCCCATTCATTCGAGGACATACTGAGCTATGGTGGAGACAAGGCTCCACGGTTAAACTGCTTGTGGATCCCGAGAAAAGCCTGCGTTGCACGCTTTTTAAAACATCTGTAACCTCGGTGCGGGGGAGGGCGCTTATTGGCCAGCCAGTCTAGCCAATCAGTGACCGCCAAGACCCAGTGAGTCTCTCTGTCAACTGAGCCCCCTAGAGTCAAGCTTCAGCCCCCTAGAGTCAATCTCCAGCCCCCTAGAGTCAATCTTCGTGGTCGAAACACTTCTGAACCTCTAGCTGTCACACGTATGCACACACAAGCACACATACACTGCAAATATGCACACACACAATGAAGAGAAAATCAATCTGGGTGTCATATAGGGAAGGGTGAGGAATATGGCAAACTCTGAGGTAGCTTGAGAGACTAAAGTGACAGCCACAAGCCTATAATTCCAGGACAACGGAGGGGCCATTTCTGTGTTACATACAGGGACAAAGGAATTGTCATGTATATGTTATCAGTAGGTCAGCAGGTACACACTATACGTGGCTTGCTTGCTCTGAGTGACCCTCCAGCCCAGATGGTGCCTGGAGGAAGGGCATCAGGGCTGATCCTGGCAGACACTGACCAGACCCAGGCCTCCAAAGAGTGCCTGAGCCAGGACTCCCAGAGACAATTAAGAGGGGGTGGTTGGGAGAGCACTATGGACGCCATGAGTCCCAGGAATAAGACTGACCACCCGAGCAGAGGGACAGAGAGCTCCAGCTGACCAACGGCCTTTGTTTCTTCCCTTTAAAAACTCACAGTTTGGGGATCAAAAATAAGGTTGTGTCTTCTTAGGGTGCTAATCTCTTGCCCACTCAGATAGCCAGCTCCCTAAGTACGATGAACCTTGAAGATTCAGTACCGAGCTAGGGCCAGAGAGATGGTTCAGTGGGCGAAGTGCTGGCCCGTTACATCATCCCTGCTACTGGGAAGGCTGAGGGAGGAAGACCATAAGTTCAAGGCCAGCCTGAACTCTGTTTTATTTTTCCATATGCTATGAGTAAACACCTGACAAGGAAAGTTAAAGAAGGGAGAAAGGAAGGAGGGGTTTATTTTCTCTCACGGTAGCAGGGAGGCATGGAGGTGGGAGTGTGGGGCAGCTGTCATGTTGTGTTCATAGCTGTTGCCTTAGTGACTTTTCTACAGCTGTGATGAGACACCGGGACTAAGGAAACTCACAGAAGAAAAAAAAGTATTTAGGGCTTACAGTTTCAAAGGGTGTGTCCATGACCATGATGGTGGGGAGCATGACTTCAGGCAGGCAGGCAGGCAGGCACTGGAGCAGTAGCTGAGAGCTTACATCTTGAGACACAGCTATGAGTCAGAGGGATAACTAGGGGCGGTGTGGGCTTCTGAAACATCAAAGCCCACCCCTAGTGGCACACCTCCTCCAACAAGACCACACCTCCTAATCCTTCCCAAACAGTTCTACCAACTGGGGACCAAGCATTCAAATAGATGAGCCTATAGAGGCTATTATTATTCAAACCACATGTTTGGCTTCCTGTCTCCGCCTGTCCCTCCCTTCTTCCCTTCCTCCTTTCTGCCTTCCTTCCTTTTCTTGAGCCAGGATTTTGTGCTTCTCAGGTTGACCTTGAATTCACGATGTAGCTGAGGGTGATACTGAACCTCTGATCTTCCTGCCACACCCAGTATATGCAGCACTGTGGTAGAGCATTTGTGTAGCATATGCAGGGGCGTGGGGTCAACACACACACAATAAATAAACAAACAAATAAATGTTGAACATAAATAAAAAAGCATGCAAACAGAAAAGAATGCAATAAAAATGCCTACTTCTCTTCTCCCAATGATCAAAGAAGCAGATACTTCATCTAGTATCAATAACTTTAGATTTTTAAATTAAAAAGGAAGAACCATTTGCAGAGGTGGGTGTAGGTCTGTGGTAAAGCTCTTGCCCTGCACATGCATAGAAGTCTTGGGCCAACAGGACACAGTCAACGGACCCTCTGGGGTCCCACTCAGACCCTAACACACATCAGCGGGTAAGCACTTTGTCAAGCCCCTCGGTCCTGCTGTGTCTGTCTCTAATCTGTAAGGTGACTGTAATCAATTGGTGACTTTCTTTCTTGCATGGCTGAGGAGGATAAGTGGGTCAGCACTCAGTGTTGGAGGGACACGAACACACTGCACACTTTGTGGGTGTGGGCTGCTAAGGTGAATAATTCGTGTGTGTATGTGTGTGTGTGCATCTGCACGTGCGTGCACATATGGGAGACTAACCTTTGGTGTTAGTCTCCAGGAGCTGTCCGCTGTATTTTTTAAGGCAGTCTCTCACTAGGACCTGGGGCTCACAGATTACACTAGTCTGCCTGGCCAGCAAGCCCCAGGTGTCCTTCCCAGTCTCCACATCCACAGCCTTGTGCTTGTAAGCATCCACCACCACAATGCTCCTTCTTTACACCGCTGTGTATGATCGTGCTCAGAGTGGATGCTAATTGCCATTTCTTGCCTAAGGGTTGAGTTCATTTCTTCTGTATCTAAGCCACAGGGGATCCTCATGCATCCCCAGTGATTTCAAAGCACTTACCAACTGGCAGCAGAACCAGTATAGCATCTTGACCTGCTCTTCAGTGCTGCTGGCCCCTCCCCACTGCGGGTCCCTCCCACTGCAGGCTCCTTCCCACTGCTGGTCCCTCCCACTGCAGGCTCCTTCCCACTGCTGGTCCCTCCCACTGCAGGCTCCTTCCCACTGCTGGTCCCTCCCTCTGCCGGCTCCTCCCCACTGCTGGTCCCTCCCCACTGCGGGTCCCTCCCACTGCAGGCTC